CACGAAAGAAGGTTCTGGGAATACTGCTACTTAATGGGCCTCAAAGGCTTGAATTCTCTCTGGTATTACCAGAATTGTTCTTACGGTTTCAATACTTCTCGGTGATACTCATCCACCCTACCCAACGAAGCCTATTTCACCGGGTTGACTGCCATCATGGCCGCCGTCACACATGGAGGAGCCTCGACACAGTCGGGAAATTTTCCACTCGGACGATGTATTCACCTAGCCGTAAAGGAAAGTGTCTAGTCACAATGAGGGACCCATTTCAGTGAGAAATTTGCTTGTTCCAGCCGTATGCATTCGCTTACGAGCTACGAGATATTGCAAAGAAACTCATTTAAACGGGGGCTTTAGATGGATGACTCGCTCATTTTCCAACGTGGTCCTACTCTTCAATGGCTTGGAAAATGCTATTTTTATCCTTTTCTGCGGATAAACTGGGGTTATTTTAACGGAAAAAAATATCTATAGTATTGTCGGTGAGTACCGTGATACGTTAAAAGTCCCATTGGGGTTCGAAAAGTCTTTCTCTTTTTCGACTAGCAGAAGAGGAGTTTCTGGCTTCTTCCGTGAAATTCTCAGAATATTTTCTCGACGGACAAATTACTAGCTGACAATATTATGAGCAATGAACTCCTCATTTAGAACATCGAACTTTCGTGGGATGGGGTTTGTCGCTAAAGAACAGCCATTTGCTAAATTCGACACTCTCGGAATCAAGGACGACGGGCCAGTGATCAATGCTTCGTAAGCTTCGATTTAATGCATGTCGTGAATTAAACGTGGAAAATATGGCCCTTTTCTGAGGTTCGCTGCTCCCCTACGGAGAATTGTAGCCCCTGGGTGCACCAGACGAAGAATAAAAAACCGCCGCGAGGTAGACTGGAATAACAGGAGACTCTTCCCATGTTTTTTTTTTTTTCCCCCTCCCTCCCTCTTTGTAAAGATATACGTGTTTAGTCTCAGAGTCATTGGAACCGAGCGGAAAGGCCTTCGTGGTAGAGCGTCCGTGTGCCGCCCGGGAGGTTGAGGTTCGATCCCAGCCGCACCATACCCAGGCTTTATTGGGTACACACTCACTTTCCTCGCCAGGTACTCGGCGCTCGGTACCTGGCTTTTGAGGAGGAGGTGTGGCCTCCCACCCCGAGGGGGGGAGGCCCCCCCTCCTGTTTCGGAGAATTGCGATGGTTGACGCATCACAGATGACAGATCGATTACAGCAAATATTCCTGTCTGGTGCTTGAGAAATCTGTTCCTAGACATAGATCAGAGGTACCCTAAGCAGTGGTGATCACACAGCGCCTCTGCGAACATCCACTTTCATGGCACAGGATAAAGATTAAAACTCTCTCATAAAAAAAATTGAATTATTCCACTTTTTCCCGGCGGAATCAAGGAATCCTCAAAGTCAAACGCAAACTAATTAACCCTTTCGGACGAGTATACTCGCCGGATTACCCAATAGAATGTTTGTTAGAATAGTTAACTGCGCTCCTTTCAGAACAAGAGACATTAACGAAGAATTACCCCTTTTTTCCTGCTTATAGCTAATCTACTTAACTAATCAAGGGCAACGGAACGAGCACCCATGCTGAGACGCGAGAGGCTTATAAACCGAAATTACTCATGTTGTAACGTAATGACATTAGAGAGGACGAGTGTCCTCATTAATGAGGCTGTGGAGAAGCATGAAGAAGTGGCATAATGGAGGTGGAAGAGAGTGCCCATGCATGCGATGAGTCCAATTTCCATTAAGATCATCCACCCATTAAGAACTCTGATTACATTTTCAAGGACACGGTCCCCCATGGAATCCGTGACTCGAGAAGGGTTACGAACTACAGAGGTCGTCAAAATTAACGTACCAGGGTTGTCTCGAAAGATAGGAAACCTACCCTGCTCAAAAGTATTGCATAGGACAGTTGTCCACGAGTGCTGATCCCCCTATAAAAAGGGTGACTCGAGCTCCTTGCATCGTAGTTCCCCAGGTGTCTGTTCCGCCGTGAGGTAAAATGCCACTTTCAGTGAAGGATCGCTACGAGATTGTCTTTCTTGCGACTCATCCCTTGGGTCCTGCCGCCATCGCGAAGTACAAGAAGACCTCAAAGCACACGGTGGCCCGTTAGCTTAAAAGATCTCGAGAGACAAGAACAGTGGGGGATGAAGACGGAAGAGGTCGAAAACCTGTGACGTCATTGAAAGTGGACCGACGGAGCTTGAAGCTCGCTCAAGGGGCGAAGAAGCCCTTGTCCACTGAGATTGCAGCCCTGGATGGGGGAGGAATCCAGGATTCCCAAAGCAAAATTTCAACGACGGTTGCGTTCATCAGGGATGCGATGTGGTCCTGCACGTCAAAAGCCTCTCCTCACGGACGATCATCGAAAACGGCGGCTCCGCTGGGCCAACAAACAACAAGCTGGGCCGCTCGGACTGTCAAACACCCGGGTAAGGTGCATGTTTGAGGTTGCTTCTCTCCTGGAGGGTTTGGGAAGATCTACACCTTCACACAGAACCTGGATGCGCATCTGCTGAAGACCATTTATGAGCGTACTCTCTTGCCTTCTGCAGCTACGATGATTTCCCGATTCAATAAAGACTTGAGTGCTGCAGGAGGACAATGATCCAAAGCACACCTCAAAGCAGCCGATCAACTGGAAGGTTGAGATTGGGGTGTTCCGTTTGGACTGGCCGTGGCAGTCTTCCGACCTCAACCCCATTCCAACCTCAACTTCCGACCTTCAAGAGAGACCACACATTCTCTATGTGTGGCCTCTCTTGAAGGTCGAAGTGGCGCATCGGCACCCCAGAACGATTAAAACTTTAAGGGCAGTAATTAAGTGAGGAGTGGGAGAATTCCCCAAAAAATTGGCAGACTCGATGCCGGACTGGCTAAGTGCAGTAGTCCAAGATTACATTACATTCTTTACTGAGATCAGGGCTCTGTATGTACTTGTTGATATAAGAGGTTTTCCCACATCTCTCGTTGAATAAGGTATAACCCTGGTAGGTTAATTTTGACGCGTACTGTACACAAGCGAGAAAGAAGTATACCGGAGACCAAGCGAGAGACCCGTTGCCTTACCCAAGTGGCGACAGCACAAAGCCGAACTCCAAACGTCGGTGGAAGGCATAGCAGGTCGATAAGCCATGTCCATCTTGAAGATCACGCCAGGACCAAGTTCTTATTTTCAGGAGAATAAAATCAGATTCCCTTATTCGTGCTACAGGTAAGTAACCTATATGTCTATGACCATTCCCATCTCTACAAACATGTAAGTTAGGTTAAACATGATCTGACCATCACATGCTGCATCCAAAAAGATTTTTATAAAGGACCTATATACGCAGTTTAAAACTGCTCCCTAAACAATAAGAAGCTAATCAGGAGTTCTGAGAAAACCGAAGGTGAGTCCTGAATCAGGACTTGGATAGCCCCTAAACGGGTACAAAAAGCAAAAGAAACCGTACCCATATTACTCCCACACTTCCGGGAAAATAAATGGGGGCCTCTCTCTGGCGCATGGAGGGAACAGAAAATTCTACTTGACCAAAAGCTTCCATGTCGGTTAGGTTTCACAAAGATGTGAAGTTGAAAAACTTTAGGCGAACGACTGTGAGAGTGAGCCTTGATCGTGTTCCATCTTTTCTTAAATCATTCGTTCAATTGTTATATTCCTTCATTATTCGATGTCGCTCCCGAAGATGACCAGAACGCGGATCAACCGCACCCACGAAGGAGAGCAACATTTATTTACATGCATCACTGAAAGCGTAGGTGCAACACATTAAAAAAAACGGGATCTTAATCAAGTGCATCTCCGTTCCGAGATCCGCACCATCGATCTCTGGGATTCTCTATAAATAGATCCCAGCCAAGGAATGTCTCGTCGAGGCCAATATCGCCCATTCATTGTGTGCAGATGAAAGAAAAAAATTCAACAACTCAGCAAACAAGTTGAAACACATAACGTTGAATCAATCATTGAATAAATTCTTGGAGTGTGGATACGACGTTGGTCCAACGTAGCCTTGTCTGCTGGGAAGTTTCTCGGTCCTATAAATACCTTCAAGACGAATGGATATTCCACTGAAGGAAATCGTGACTGGAATTGAGATGCACCAAACCACCCTCACAGTGAGAGTGGCTTGGTCCGGAATTGAATTCATGTCAGTATCGTGGTTGTCTGGGAGGCATGAAGCCCTCTAAGTAAGATCACGATTGCTCATCATCGGCTCTTGACGAGTTGGGAAGAACGAAGGCTCCCATTCTTTTTAGGCGTACTTTAAGATGTAATTCGAATGAGAGAAGGAAGAGGATTGATGAAATCAATCCAGTGGAAGCAGTTTATGAGATGCTCAAAATTGAAGACACGTAACGAATCTGAGGCAGAATGAACTTTCTTATATGCAATTTGGTCTTTCGTATATGGTCAAGTAGATTCTACAAGGGGCGTAATGAGCCTTAATTTATTAGAGGAAGAACCACTATTCGGACAAGCCTGAGATTTTATTCACACAAAATGCTGTCACTGTAGGGGAGTGGAAAGCATGCGATCCCGCTTGGGGTGATTGACCTCTATTTACAGCCTCCGCAACTAGGTGTCACTAGTGAGCCCCTGTGTTTGTTATTCGGGATATATAGTGGATTAAATTATATGTGCTGGTCCTGATGTAAAATTTACATAGAGTTATTTTTAGAGCTATACGCTATGAAGATAGGAAGTACTGCATGCCTTCCAACCCGACATGACTGAGGAATCTCCAGCGAGACAGTAAAACAGGCTCGACCTGAATAGCTCTCTCCTGCTGAGATCCTGTCGACCCGAAAACAGGCTCGACCTAAGACTTATAAAGTACGGTCAGGTACCCCGCATCGAGCCAGGCTCGACCTAAGCCCTGAACGGTGACGACCCCTATCGGCCCGAAGGACCCTAGCCCTGTAACGGCCCGGCTAGACCGAAGCCCGGAAAAGCAACGGAGAACGTAGGCCGGTGCGATCAGGCATCCTCCACGGGACCCAACCGCTCATCCTCGACCGCAGTTCGCGTGGAGGCATTAGGGTCATACACGTCGGTCGAGTGGGACCCACTAAGGAAGCGATCAAGAACGACGCCGGGCCCGGACACCAGGAGTCCCCAGCGCCTTCGGATCCGGCGGATGAACTGATCTTGATTGTGGATGAATAAGTGATAATAAACACACTTGTTTTGTTGTTTAACTTCGAACTTCCAATTGTAAACTTATTTCCACCCGAACCCCATACCGTAACATCGCCATGTTTCAACTACTGATGGACATCGAGAATTTGATTATTTATGCCCAGTTGGCAGCACAGTAGCCATTGAAAATGGCGCCTATGGATGGTGTTTTGAAGAAAAAAGCTCTGATTGAGTTCCTCACAAAAGAATATGTAACCCCTGAAACATTCATGTGTATGATGAGTCTAGCAACAGTTATGTGCAGTAAGTGTGAAACGGTGGGTTCTGCATTTGAAGAGTGGAAACAGTGACATCGAAGACAACCCACGCTCAGCGCTGTGACACTCGACAGCAGAACGGATATTACATGACGCCCTCCCTCCCTGACTGTGACGTGACGATCATTCATCGGGTAGCAGTCAGTCGACGATCGTTTCGGATCAGTTCGTCCACAGTTCGTTGAGTTCTCATTGTCTTTTCAAAACGTGAAAAGAATTATGCTGATCCTCCATGCAATTTTAGCGAATTGAGATGAGTTCGCTGTTTTAACCCTCTTAACACGACCGGGCCGACAAGATATTACTGTCACTAAGAACAAATGTTCTGACATTTCATGGAAGGACTGATCATTCGAATAGACCCAAATGACGGAATATCACTGAAATCGAGGAGAGAAAGGGTCTTACTTATTGTGTTGCATCGTGGAATAGCCCCTATACAGCATAGGTTGTTGGGATGGGCTGATTCAAAAATTGTTTTCTCAAATACAAAAAATATTAATATTTTTTAATTTTTTCTATCGCTAGCAAAAAACATGGACCTTTCCACTGATTTTTTTCTGAATTTTAAATTAGGCGACTCATCCCAAGTTTAAAGGTCAACATTTTTGTCGATAAAAAACTTTGATTTAATTTTTCCAGAGTGATCGTGTGTGCCACTTATCACATCCTCACGTTGTTCCGAGTGAATTGACACCTTGATCAAGGACCTAGCATGAATCGTTCCTGAGTTACAGGGCTTTGAAAATCGGAGGTAAGACGGTATCACCGAATTTGAGCACCCTGTAGCTTTTGATCTAGTGATGCGAGGCCCAGGTGCGATCCATTCACAGGTGTGAGATCCGGCAGGAGTTCACCTTCGAGAGCGCCCTCGTGAATGGGTCTTCAAAGGGGGAAGGATTTACGTAAATGGAAAGAAAATCCTCTTTGGAAACGCACGAGACTCCACTTTTGCATGCCTCGACTGGGGTCACATTCTAAGGGAAACTACTCCAGATTATTGACAGTGAGATCGAACCTAAATCCTGCAATCGGGATCAAGGAAATCCTCTTCCCGCTCGTGATTTCATTTTTTTTTTCATCCGACAAGTTTCATATTCAACGATATGGATGAAACACTCCCTTACCAGAGGGGGATGTTTCGTATTCATTCATCGTCCCACTAACTGGTTGGTCGTCTCCCTCGGAGGGATCGAAAGGCTTGTGAGCATCATATCACCGCATTTGCAATCTTTGGTTTGTTACAAAAGCAGACAACAATGACGCTTCAGAGGCGGTCGAGACACCCGTTATTCACATTCATTTCAACACGAGTACGTGGTGGTCGTCCGCAGTCCAAGCACGTCGGGTATAACAAAAGTAATAGAGAAATAACATTGGGATCTTTTCTTAGAGTTCACAAACTAATCTGGACTGGAGTGATACACCTTTTATCAAGTTTACTAATAATTGATCGAAAGTGGTGAATGGTACATAATGGCTCGATGAGATGCTGTGACCCATAGTGAGCGGTAGAGACAAGAAATGAATGATACGATAACATCGGTCTTTAAGGGCATGAGGACCGCTGCTTTTATTTTTTTTAGTTTTGGAAGGCGAAACACGCAAAACGAATTTATGAAATGGAAAGGTTTTCCCTTCGGAAACAAAGTTGAAAAGTCAAAGAATGTTTTCTACATCAGCAGTCCCTGAGTACGAGCCAACTAACGTAATTTCTTTTCTGTATCTTCCTCCAGGAAATGCAGTCGTACTATCGAAACGCTCTTTCGTTTTCTCGAGTGCCGAAACCTATCCCCTGTGTAATATGGTCACCTACTCGGTGCTGCGTGTTTCCATTTCGCCATGGCATGTGGCATGACGTCATCAGATAGAGACGTAAAGGGGAGCTTTGAGTTGAATGCTCATTACCTTGAAAACACTCTCTTCTTTCTTTTCCACTGGAGTGTCGGCGGCGTTCTACTAGGTAATTTTTAAAACAGTTCCTAGTTTCCAACTCCCATAATATTTTTTGCAAAATCATTTCAGTGACCTTATTTGTACAGAATATGACGAAGGCATGGGAGATTCGTGTGGGCTCAAAAACATGGATGGAAGGGGCAGCACAAAAGCAATATGGCGTTCTTCACAGCGATGCAGAAATTGTTCCTTGTGAAATGGTACTTCAAGCTAAACGAATATCCTGTAAGTGTGCAAAGACTGTATCGACGGCACTTTCATACCAGGAATGCACCATCCAGCAAGACTAATACCAAACTTCTTAAGCAGTTTGAATCGGAAGGCGATGACCGTCGAAAGAGCCATTCCGAGCATCCAATCACCCCACAAAATTTCACTCTTTGCCCGAAAATGTTTATCCGCAATCCCTGAAACAGCTTACGATGAGCTTCACAAGCAACGGAAATTAACGTGGAGAAACGTTTTCTGTTCGCATGGAGGCAATCTTCCCTGTTATTCCCAATTTCTCTCTCCGTTTGACTGTGATTAAGTAAAATCGTCGTGTGATTAAGTAAAATGGAGGTCACATCGGACATGTTTCAATGAGCCCACATGAATCTTCCATACTTTCTGAGCGAATTTGGCTACTGCAATGTCATTATAATAAAAGTTAAGTGAATAGAAAACTAGGAACTGTTTTAAAAATCACCCTTGGCGTTTCGGAAAATAGAATCTTCCCATTAAAAATTGAGAGCACGAAGGATCCCAGCCTAATCGAGTTTGACACCTCTGTAACGCCATTAATATGTATATGAAATAGAGATTCCTCTCCATTTCCTATGTACCTCTCACTCACAGGAGCCATCGCGTATACAACGGAATCGAAAGCGACATGTGGCGGAGGGAAAGAAAACCGTCCCGACAGGCGAAAAAAGCTAGTTTTTTCTTATGGTGCTCTTAATCCGATGAAGAATCCTTTGGGGGATACGGGTAAGAATCGCTGCAGGGAGGCTTGAGCAACTTCTTCCAAGGTCAGTTTCTTAGCAACGGAAATCGTGACCCAGTCGACAAACCGGAAATATTGAATGACGTAATAGAACCCTTAATGTGAAGGGGCACTTTTAGCACAATGCTCCTGGACTGCCAGGTCAATTGTGTTTCAGATATCGTGCTCAAATCCTGACACGCAGTTCCGAGTTTATCGTCGGAGGTGATGCATCGTGGGGGAGGGAGGTGGCTAACAAGCAAAAAAACTATGCACCTCAAATTTTCAGTCATAAGTGAGAAGCGTGATAGCAGCAGGAAAAAAAAAGAGCTGCTTTTACTGGGTTACTGGTTACTACGATTTTAAGATTCCCTCTCAACCAAGTTTCATCCGTCTGGGTTAAGAAGGCCATCCATCTTCCTTCCTTTCTTTCCTTCGTCAGTGAAGGATGGCATGCTTCTACTTTCATCCCTCCACTTCGACTGGGTCAAAATCCAGACACGACGTTGTGACGAGCTTACCCGACACAGACTCCAATTAAACCTACTTTCATCTCCTTAAAACAGTGTTGTCAATATCCCAGCGACGTAATTGGGTTACGGATCGATACCGGAGATACAAGTGTTGACACGGGGAGAAGAGAAAGAGAATTTTCCTGAAAGCCCGTGACAGTAAGAGACGGACACGTGAGAAGGGAGTTCTTGTTGACCATGTCCAAGGCAATCTCTCGGCTTGAAAGCGGTAGTGGCAAGGAAAAGCCTCATGACGCCATGCCCATACTCCGCTTACCAAATCGTCTTCGGTTGTTCTCCAGGCGTCATGGTTCAAATCTGGGAGGCTTTGAGATCGGTTTCGCAAACCAGTGTCTCGTTCCTTAATGCAGAGAGCGAGGCACATTCTGTTCCTGACGTTTCATACATAACCATCGATCTCCTTTCTTGATCCAGGGCTTCCACACTGCAAGACTAAGGCCATGAATGAAGATCATGGTGATGCACCTCTCTAATCCCGACATGGATTCTATGTCTAGGATTAGTCATGGAGAAACCAAGTATCGTTCGAAAAGTACGAGGGAAGCGTGCCAGCCGCATATGCGAGGTAACTCACTGTGTCGACGATTTGTCAGAGAGAACCTTGAACCTCTCGCCTGACATCTGCTGACGTAACGTTGAAAGGTCGTCGTTGACTTGGATCATTAACTTTTACATCCCATGAACCACTTTATCAACATTGTTGTGCAGAATTGGAGTGGCGTATCTTGTGCTGAAGAAAAGGCTACTCATACGTGTTATGAGGTAGTCTAGAAAAAAATGTAATCAATTTCAAACTGTGAGCATTTCGCGTCCTACAACCACAAGACGATCCTGTCATCTTCATGATGGAATGGGCTCAATGGCTCAAAACGTCTCCCAATATTCCAGTGCAAGTGAAGACAGTACAGGCACTGCTCAACTACTGGTTTTTCTTTGAGGTGTGGATGAAAACTTGGTAGAACTCGCAGATCTTCGTAGCTTGTTTGCATCAACATCTGAACAGACCTCCATGACGAAGTTGAATAAAGACCAGTTGAGAAGCACAATGATGCCCAACTGCCAGACATTCCTGAAGCGAAGATAATAATAAACAAGGGCTGTAAAGATAATTTCCTTGCCTCTGCTTTCCTTAATCATAAGTTGAGGTGAAGGTTCAGATTAGGGAAAGAAATCCATTGCTCATGAGACCAACAAGCTCAAAATTTTAGCACCCCTGTCTTGCAGCCTATTGCTTGGAGGTTGGTTGGAGCTCTCCTTATCTGCTTCCATAGTACGCTTTGCACTCGACAGTCACTAGACAGCTTCATAGCTGTGCTGAAGGTGTTGGCAGGGACCGTGCCCCTTATACGGATCCTGTCTCATTCCCGGTATTTTGAGGCAGGGAAAAAGTGTTGAGATAGGGTGCAGCAGCGGTCTCAAACGGGGCGGGTGGTTGTTCCAGAGGGGCGCGACAGAGGATGGAGTTCAGTATTTGTCTTTTAATTTACTGCAAAATGCAATTTCAAAAATTGCGTCTTATATGGATTATTTTACTGAACAATTTACACTTACTTTCTCAGCCTCGTCAAGACGCTCAAGGAAAGCATAGCGAGACGCAACATCGTCGCGCGCCAAACCGATGAAAATCTCTGAAAATTCCACGCGCTTGTCGAGGATTGTCTGCGTTAAATGTCTCCTCGAATTGCCGAGCTTTTCCTGCTGCATTCTGACCGATAATCGGAACGAGGCATAGTCACTTAGACTTAAATATCTATTAATTAGGTTCGAAAGGACACGAAACGGAATCGCCTCAGAATAATTTTTTTTGACAAAATAATAAAATAATGAAAGGGAATTTTGGGAAAGGCGCAAACCATGTTTTAAATCCGATCTATCATTCCGAAACGTTCATGCGAACGTAAAAGGAAGCAAGCACAATAGACATGAAGATAAGCAGGTTCTTTCATCTCGTGCCAAAACTGATTTGCGTGCATAGCGTGCCGCAGTGGTTAGGACATACCAGACATACGATTTGATGATAAGGCGAACGAGACTTTAACTGCAGGGGACGATAAGAACCCTGCACTTTCTTCCACTGTCTCGTGTCTTAGTTTTTTTTTTCTTCCAAGATGGAATCCCGAATTCTTCTTTCAGAATGTACAGTAGTTTTAGCGTCGGTACGATATTTGAGGATTTCATCCGAGTTGGCTAAAAGACAATGATCCAGACTGACCTTAAACTCTGCTGTCCGTTTCTCTCACCGACCATCATCGACAGAAGCCGCGTCGAGTCACTCGAAACAGTAGAGAAAGTCAGTAGACGATGGGGGAGAGTGCCAGACAGACGCGTCTCACTCCCGCCACTGACGGACTGACGAATCGAGGATCTACATTTTCGATCAAGGGATACTTGTTCTATCCTCAATCTGTTCTATCTCTATCGGTAGAGCTATCGTACAGGATCTACTATGCATCCCAGTTTGTTATCATATATCCTATACAGGGCTTCCCAACCCAGGGGTCGCGACCCCATTTGGGGTCACGAACCGGCAACTAAATGCCATGTTATGTTTAATTTTTCTTTGTGATTTTAGCGCATAAGTGAGGGAGCCTGTCGAGCTTCAGCCAGTGCTTGGTGTCCCGAACGGTACGATCGTAATTTTTGCGGTCGCGCATGAAAAAGGTTGGGAAGCTCAGCAAGATATCATACATGATACACTGATTTCGGATTGTATTCGTACCACCCCCCCCCCCCTCCTACTGTAGGAGCCCTTCTCTGGATTGCAGGTAATGGACATCACCATAAATGGTATTGTGAATCATCTGATGAAATAGATCCTCTGGAGGCAGTGCTGTCTCCTGGCAGGAATTCAAAATTACAGTAGAGAGGAGCAGAAAAGTGGCTGAGATCTCTTAGTCGTCCACCGAAATGTAGCCCGATGCCACTCCATCCATTTTATTTTTTTGCGACTGTGGAAGACGGAAAAAAGCGAATATCATCGATATCTAAGACGTATGATAGCAAGTTCGAAGAGATATGCCCGTCCTTCTGGACCGTTAATCATATTCCAGCGATACCAAGATTATGCTGAGAGTGCTAAGGTTCGAATGCACAAACCTCATTTAGGGGAGATAAGGGGGGGCATTTAAGCTAAAGAGCTTCCCCTATAGGAGTCCATGTATTCCTAGAGGACTAGGCTTGAGTCTTGGCCCTACATTAGATCTTCGCACAGGAGACCATTATGACCAGGGTGACTGCTCCTAACATCATTCGACCAGTCATTCATCATCCCAAAAAGGCAAAAGTTTATTTATTTTTAATATCTTTATCTGATATTCAAGGCCCTGGCTTTTCTGCATAAAACATTCCAGATAAATAAGAAATACCTATGCCAAGTTAATGCTATTTAATAGTTAATGCACAATGTTCGATCAAGTGCATAACGTGGCGTATCGGATACGATTTCGCCACGTGATGCACATGTTCGCCAACTGAACGAAAAAGTAATAACTCCTGTTTTCAGAAGGAATGAGGTTTCTCCGTATGGGATAGTTCAAGTGGAAGTATGAAGGTATTCGGATGCCTTTTCCAGTCCTTTTCTTTCAACGCGATTCCACCCGAATACGAGAAATAATATGCAGTCTTTCCTCTTGAGATTCTCGTTTCGACGATTCCAGTCGAATCTCCTCCCGCATTCTCCATTCATTCAGAGAGCATTCGAGAGCGAAGAATGAGGGAGCAGACGCGATTACTTCTCTCTCCCTTCTATGCTCGAGAATGAGATGGAAAACAGGAACCGAAATGAAACTTTTTGCACATTCGACCCAACTGCTTTGAAGATCGAGTGATTCCGAAAATGATCGGCACAAAATCAGGTCTCGTACAAGGCTGACGGACAACATCGTGAAGCCATGCCCATGTGAAGCCATGTCTACGTGAAGCCATGTCTACACGACAGAGTACCTTTCTCAGATTGATCGACGTTCCACCTACTCAGCTCGGGTCAGGCTTGCTATTCGGGATCGTGAACACTGGAGGATGCTCTTCCAGACTGGCCAATTTTAACATTTCAAAATTCGATCGTGAGAATATTCTGACAGCCTCGATTCCCAAGGAAAAATTGGATGTCAGGAAAAGCCTGCATAAGTGAGAGCTCTCTTCAGATCCTCATGCGATCGATGCACGGTGACTTCCCAGAATCGATAGTCACAACCATATGTTCCTTTCCCAGTCGACGTTCTATCGAGTCGGAGAGGAACTACAAGGAACAAAACGAGGGTAAAAGCTCCATTGTCTATTTTTTTTTCAAAAGCCACCAACACAAACGACATCTTTGGGGAAGAAGCAGTTCTTGTGAAGGGCATCGAAGAGAAGACCGGGAGAGCAGGATACGAGCCGGCTGACCCCGTACCGGCACCTCCAGAAGGTGGAGCAGTCGCAGAAATTGGCCAAGTTGCAGGTGACAAGCCCGCATTCTCGGAGGCAATCGGGTGGAGGAAACGTGCAGACCTCGATCAGCGTCTCCGTCGGAACTGGCCCGGGTGGAGGATCCGCCAGCGCTCCCTCGTTCTCTTTCATGCACGCATTCATCTCGCTCTTTTCTTTCCGTTCTGGTTCGGCCTGTTCCCTTCATCGACACGAAACCGATCTCTCAACTCACCTTTTCCCTTTAGTATCATCTCCCTCAGTACACTCGAATGTCTACCTTGATGGTTGAGAATCTCTTTCCTCGGCTGTATCGTTGACAGCTCCACCAGCAATCACGGCATTTCCCTCGATGCACGGGAGTTTCTCCTTCATTTCTTTCTGCTCTGACCCTGTTGGCTCCCTTTAACATAAACGAGAAAATACATTTCGCTCTTCGTACCTTTCTGTCTCACCTGTTTCAGCATCTAGGGCATACTTCGAAGGCTGACAATCTGGCTGGCAATCGCGTTTGGTCGTGTCATTGGCAGTTCCACTGGGCATCGCGGTCTCATTGCTCTGCTCTATTCCCCTCTGCTCTGGCTTTGCTGGCTCTCTTCAACATCAACACAAAATCCATCTCCTGTACTGCTTATATCCGTCTCATCTGTCGGAACATTTTCAACGGTGTACCTTGATTGCTGGGAATCTCTTTTCTCGTCCGTATCAGTTCCCCCATTGATCACGACCAAGAGGGCCATGATAAACGCCAAGCTCATATTCTTCTTCATTTTACTTATTCACCTGCAGAAAGATTCAGTCACTGAAAGATTCCCTTCCGAAATGTCCGACGGGTGGAGGTGGATTTGGAAACGGGTGGATTTTCACCTGGAGGGACATCCAACAGGGGATGTTTTGTTAGGGTTATTACGGTGAGGACTGATTAAAAAATGAGAATTCAAGCCGATTAGATCGCTTCATCAGCTGGGATACCTACCCGTGCTATTGAGATGATGCCGTGCGTCACACCACGTGGAGAGGATGAGAAAACACTTGCGGTGCAGAATCATGCGCCACGAGCATGATGGACGTCTGAAAAAACTTAATGCGCTGTTCCGTCTTCATATCTAGCATCTGACATCGTACACGATCATAAATTCATTCTCTTGCTCTTATTGGACTGATAACTTGACGTCGCGAGGACAAGATAAGGAGGATCAGGCATACAGCTCTGACGTGGACATAATTTATGCCTTTTATGAGGTACGATAAAAGGGATGCCGTTAACTGGTCTGGTTAACTGGTAACTGATCGATTGTTAATAATAACTGATCGATTGAGTGTTAATCCTGCAGAAGCCCACGGCTTCTGCAGGATTAACACTCGGCATCAGTACAACGAGAGAAAAATGTTGTCCTTTATGCATGTGGGTGCTTCCCTCTACACCATATCCCGTTGCGAAGGGAAATAAGAGCGTATCTGCCTATCTCGTTAATGGAAGGGACGTTCGAAGATGAGAAAGACTTTCCCAGTACGGAAATTGTAGATATCATCAGAACTGTGATGATGTACAATTCACCATCCTGTCTTCTGGGAGTCGAAGCTTTGGAAACTTTAGAGCCTTTTGCAATGCCCTCGTGACAGTAAATCTTCAAAAGAGGGATTGGTTTCAATCCCTACCAATATTGGATTTTATGAGAACTCCGCGAATCGAATCATTCGAATTCAGACGAGACCATCGATATAAGTCGTCCCATCATTGGGGGAAGAGCCCCTCTAAAAAATTGGCTTGGAGAGGGATGTCGATGAAGATGGGAAATTTTCAAGCTCCTTCGCATATGACATCGCTTGTCAGTCCCATGCTGTGAGCCTCTTAGGATCTTACATTTTCCTTCTCTCCTTCCACGATCCCGAAAAGATGGAGGCAGAAAAAGGGAAGACACGTAAATGGAAGGGATCACACCGACAGCGGAAGGGGTTCGACACAGACAGAGCTTCCAACTCGCATCTAATTCTTCACTTCCTCGCTCTCGCTGTCTGCCTTCCGCTGCATGTTCATAAAATAGGCCGGGATCGCCATTATATTCGACGTTAATGGCCTGATTAATTTGCGCGTTTGTTCTCGCAATTGCGCACGCACGGAACTTTTACGAACTGGGATCACGATAAGAATCGTGATAAGAAATATTCGCTTATGCATAGCGGATATTTCGACGCCTCATGCAGAGGCAGCCTATCCATAATCTAGGTATGCGTATCGATCTGCAGATGAAAGATACATGGACGCAGGCAATCGGTTGCAATCGGATCGGATTTCCACCGACTGTGAAAGCGGTGTTCAAATGATATGCTCTCGCAGTAGGGTCCCAAGGGAGGAATGGGACAAAATGACATGTGATTATGTAAACATAAAAAGGTACTATGACAACAGTGGCGGATAATATAATTATTCGGAAATGATTCATAGGGGCTTGCTTCCCTAGTTCCCCATGCACCTGCCACCATAAGCGTAGCGTGGAGGGGAAAAGTATGGGGGGAGGGCCGAAAATGCACTTAAAAATGCCAAAATATGCACGATTGTGGGAAAAAAAACACGTTCGTTTTTTTTTAATGCAGTGCGAATTTTTTTTGGAAGAAGGAACTTCGATGTACATTTCATGCCTCTGCTGGGTATACGTGGTAGTTGGTCTATTCTTGTCACTGCCAATGGCGAAGCCATGAAATCGCCAAAGGAGGGCTAAGGGAAACGAACTGGAGAGAGAAGTTCCTTAACTTCCTGAGAGGGATGCAGATAACGCATTTGGAGCAAAGATCTTGGAGCTTCACCTCTCCGTTCTCCCCCCCCCCCCCAATCGCTACACTACTCATTACAGCGCATAACCGTTGCTCCTAGAGAAACATTTTCCAGGAAAACTTATATTTTTTTATTCATGCAAAAAAATGGGTGAAATATACCTAAATTACGAGAAAAACGTTTAAATATGCATTTTTATGCGTTAAAAAAATGGCAGAAAACGCTTCGTCTGCCAATAAGACATAACATATTAGGGTTGTATGTTCCAAGGAGGTCACACAAAAAGTATGCATTTGCATAAAAATCTGTTCCCTAGCTATCATGCATTTCTGGGTCTTTTCCTTATTTTTTTTGCTTCTTTTCTGGAAAAGTGGGGGGGGGGGGCACGTGAATGATTGCCGATCAAAAGTCGACTACGACTTATATCACAGCACTGTTTACTAAATATTCCTAAAAATAAGTTTCTTAGAGTTTATAAGCATTGGAGAAGACTCAGTCTTTCCCTTAACGCCCTCTCCGAGGAGAGGTCTTCAAATGAACTTTAATACGTTGATATACAAAGAATAGCATCAGGTGACTGCCTGTGGAAATAAGTACCGTTAACAATTAGGAAATGAGAGCGAGAGATTGAAATTTAGCGAAGAAAGACATCTGATTTGAACTCGATAATATATATAGGAAATTATGAGTGCAATACATGATTCCTCGGATAATTCATGATTCAATATATCCTGAAATGTTTTATTCAATAAGTTATTAAGACCATTCCCTGGAAGCATATCTTATTACTGGAACGAAAGAAAGTTGTGCACGGGAAGAACTTGTGGGACTCTCCTCATACACTGACTTAATTGAGAGCAAATTTTGGCGCAAATTCATTTTGAACCTCGGCTCATCATAACCAAGGGGTTTAACAATCAGAATGGAGGAGACAGAGAAGGTGGGGTGAGGAGCGAGGATTCGAGAAAGGTTAACAACTCATTTTTAGACATTTCTCTTTTGTTATGCGGCTGGTATTTAGTCATACCGTCGACCGAAAACCCATCGGAGTGTAGAACTGCCGAACTCGATAGAAAAGTCGTTCAGGCCCTTGACCTAAATACTTTCCGGAGACGAACGAAGAGAAGATGGATGCTGAAAATGTTTCGTTTAATCTTCGTCACCCACGACCGAATGATCGATTGCTTCCCAGTGCCTACTTGGTCGGGGCCCTAGGCTTCAAACGACGCGTCTCAAACAGAAACTTTTTTTCTCTCGGGGATGAGTTTGGGTCGACGGTTTTTCAACAATCACGGGTCAATGGAAAAGAACTTTTGGAAGGGATTGCATGGGACTGCACCTGAACCTGGATGAGGTCGATAGAATGAAGAAGCGGAAGCTTCTTCATTTCGCTCCGATCGTACTTTAGATGCTGAAAATCCTGCTGGAAATCCCTAGAAAGCGTCGAGTGAGGACAGACAGTCTGGGAAATGCTCCGGATTCCTGCAATGTGCACGTAAACAATAGGTTTGCGGCTTGTCTGAGCATGGGGAACTCGGCAGGACCACCACCAGAAGGGATTTAAAAAAACGTACAAAAAATTCCATTTTGCAGGAAGTGAACGCATGACGAATGTGGCGAATGTCGTGATAGGGTATTACTGTGCAAAAATTTTCTGACAATTTTATTGTTAACGCTACGGTCCACCGTGTCCCGATTTAATCCCGCGGAATTATAAAGGAACTCTGATGTCCAGATTCGGTGATGCACCTTTCGCCCGTGGGGTACTGGGTCAGCCCCCAGCGGACCTTCCTCGGCTGAGTACCGTTATCGTTGGCTCCGGGTGGAATTAAAATTAAGGGAAATGTACAGTATTTCGGATCCTGCAGTTTCTACGACAGACTCCTTCAACAATCTTCTCCTTCGGCGGTGATCGTAGGCTTGTGGACAGGGTCTCCACGGTCGTAAAGACCTCCTCCTTCTCCACTATGACTGCGCCGCAGGGAAGACAACGGGTGCAAATGGTCGATGGCTTAACCGGCTGTCGGGCGACACTTGCACGTGTTAGAGGACACAGGTCTCAGTCTATTCGGATCTATTCGACTCCTGGTCGCCTGGTCTCCTGCTTAAGTTGCGCAAACCGCAGGTGCGGCTCAGGTCGAGACAGGAATTCTTTACTTGCAGAGTGGTGAACGAGCTTTAAGAGGGTTAGGCCTACCCTAAAATTAAGGAACGTTCGACCTCGACACGTGATATCGAAATGGGCGAAATCGCTTCTTGATGTCACTAACTATCTTGACTCTTGACTCTTGGTCGCAGAGTGTACCCACGTAGTACTATGAATTCAGGTATCGGTCGTGCCTGATTCAAGTTACTCAGTCTATTGGGATGATCGATTTCCCAAAAGTTTTCGTTGGGAGTCGGTTGATTCCCCTTTTACGAGGACGCACTGTGCAGGCTCACCAGGGACCGTGACGCAATTATTATCGGGATCTGAGATCCTTGAAATTGTGGACTAGAATGCTCACACTACTATTTTTCTACTTACTGAAGACCTCTATTGCTAATTAGTTACCCATGAACCAGTCACTTGAACTTTAACTTCATGTACCTCCTGTATTTACAAACACTGGGGCTCGCCAGAGACCTCTAGCGGCTGACGCGGACTCTGACTGACTCGCATATCAGGAGTCTGTCACTCCTACCAGGGTCGCATGCCCTATCCTCTTGGGCGACTTACCCTGACATTATTTTGTCTGGACGTCACGGTCAATGACAATGACTGCTATCTGTCTATCTATCTATCTCAGTCCCCAGAGGGAAATGCACTCTGCTTCGGGAGACAATAGGCCGACCCTCATACAATACCGGATGACGGATGAATTAATCTTATACTTGGCGAGAGAGAGAAAAAGAAGAAATCCGTCTCGCTGGATGAAATCCGAGAGCATGAAATGAGACAGGGAAAGAAAGGAAGAGATGAATTCGGAAATGAGGTCAGGAATGGGATATTGTCGGGCTTTTCTTTCTAATTCAGTAATATAAAACTTTCACAAATTATTTTTAAAAAATTTGTCATACAAGTAAAATTTCAACAGATTTTGGTTTCCATGATGGAAATTAAATGTTTAGGAATTTACATGTATTTACGTTCTCGTGTCAACTCAGTGACAAGAGTGCCCCCTTTCAACAACCCGACACTGTCAACGCCATCTTGGGACTTTTATACTTTTTCCAACACCATCTCACGACAGCAGAACGAATTTTTGTTCAAAACCATGTACTATTGATCTATTTTCGAAATGCTCGCCATGACGGACGAAACCGTCGAAGCGAAT